GAGCGTAGGAAAGGAAATTTGGCGGAAAATGGAGAGGTAAGACATTTGTGGGACACAGATATGGTTTATTATCTGTTGACAAGGATGAGTATAGTATTCTCAACTGGGCTGGACTGAGGTGTACATCATGCTTGGTAAAGTCTCTCTATAATCTAAATGAAGTGTAGCTACTAAATATATGAATGATAATAATAAATTAAAATTAATTAATTAACTAAAAAATCATTTCAACTAAAGAAAAGATGCAAAGATGCAACCTTCCTCAGCAGAAGATTTATGAAGTAATTATTGGTTAAATTAAAAACATGATATAGACTTTATGTAGCAGAAAAAAGTCTGCACACATTTGGCCTCAACAATCCATGGACTCTTGAACAGCTTTTTTGAGCTATAATTCACAAACCAAAGAAATCACACTTGGAAAAAGAGCACGATTCAGTGGTTTTCAATATATTCACAGAGTCTGCAATCATCACCACTGTCTAATTTCAGAACATCTCATCATCTCAAAAAGTAACTCCATCTCCCTGAAGAGTCACTCCACTCCCTCTCCCGCTCCCTAACCTCTCATCCTACTTTCTGTCTCTACACATTTGCCTCTTCCTGGCTTTTCTAGAAATGAAACCATACAATATGTGACCTTTTGTGCCTGTCTTCCTTCACTTAGCATGTTTTCGGGGTTCATGTATGTTGTAGTACATATCAGTACTTCACTCGTTGTTATTACAGAATTAACATTGTATTGTACGGACATACCCCATTTTGTTTATGAACAAAATGATACTTATTTGGGCTGTTTCCAATTCTGGGCTATGGTGAATAATGATGTGGCGAGCATTGAGGAGCAAGTTTTTGTGCAGACATGTTTTCAGTTCTCTTGGATTTGGTGGTGAACTCTCTGTGACTTTGAGGAACAAACTCTTCACCAAAGCAGCTGACCGTTTTACATTCCAACCAGCTATGTATGAGAGCTCTGACTTCTCCACATCCTTGCCAACACTTGTTATTGTCTATCTTTTTTTCATCTTAGCCATCCCCTTGGGTGTGAAACAATCTCTTGTGGGTTTTGTTTGCATTTTCCTAATGACTACTGATCATCTTTTCATGCACTCATTGGCCATTTTTATATTGTGCATTTTATGTTCAGGCCTAAAATCAAGATGTGGATTTGTAAATATAGTATGATCTTTTTTTTTTTTTTTTTGGAGAGGTTTTCATTATAGGGCGCGTGCGCTCGCCAGACGGACAGAGAGAGATAGAGAGACAGAAAGTGAGAAATCACCCCCCAGGGGGGATGGTCACGTCACAATCCCTTCTCCTCCATTCTCCTCTCGGGATCTTGGGTACACACGCACAAGTGGCCAGTGTGAGTTTTAAGCCACTGGGTCCGGGACAGGAACTGTGGTCAACTATGTGGGAGTCCAGTGACATAGCCATTACATTAACTGTTGGTTCCCAATATAGTATGATCTTAATATGTTTCAGAAGTGCAGAGGAAAAAAGTCTTTCAAGGAAACATGCAAAAATATAAAGGCTAAGAAGATGAAGCCAGATTTCTGCTTTCTTTTCTAATCCTTTCTATATCTCCCAAATACCTGCAATAAAATGTGCATTTACTTTTGTGGTGGGAGACTAAAGGCAGGAAAGCACGATAGTTATTGAGATAGGGCCCATGCTTTGACCTGCGTCTGGCTAGGAAGGTGCCAGGCAGCTGGGCACGAAGGACACAGGTTAACGATGTGACCGTGGGCATCATATGGCTGTGACTTCTCCACGAGAACCTCATGGCTGTAAGGGAGGGGATGTCCGTCAGTATCCCACCAGGCATACCCCGTGCACCTGCACAGGTGAGAGAAGGCTGGTCCTTCCCTTTCCGGCACATGAGAAAGGAACCTGGTCTAGGTGGGCCATGGGAAACTAGACTCTTTGTGCAGAAGAGAAAGCCACTCTCGGGGGACAGGACGAACCCATGCCAGGGCCAGGACAAGGAAAATGGTATTTGGCAGCCAGTCCAGTTGGGCAGAGGATGGAAGAGGGGCTACTGGGACTCTCGCTATAGTGGGAAAGAAGGAGTGACAGGGAAGGCAGGTGTGGTGAGAGTCCTCCTCGTGTGGGGAGAGTGGAGCTGAGTTCTGCAGAGCAGATCTGCTGTCCAAAGACCAAGACAGAGACTTCATTCTGACCTGCATAGGGACTATTTCTGTCTGTCCTCCATACTGAACTTCCCCTTCACATGCATCGGTCAACCAGCAGGTGCCCATGGACAGCACCAGGTCTGTCCTTCCTCCTTGCCTGTTGGAGCATCACTTTAAGGGGGCCTTCACTTGGGGGGAGGGGCAGCAGGTAGCAAGCTGGAGCACAGGGGAGTGCCCTATGGGAAGGGCATAGAGTTGAGGAATCTCTACTCCAGGAAAAAAAAAAAAGAAAGAAAGAAAGGAACAGGGAAAAGGACTCAAGCAGTTTCCAAAAGATCAAACCCAAAAGGTTAACAGGCCTGGGACCAGCAGCTAGCATATTGGCTATGTCGCTGGACTCCCATGTAGTCGACCACGGTTCTAGTCCCGGACCCGGTGGCTTAAACTCATGCTGGGCGCGTGTGCGTGCGTGCCCAAGATCCTGAGAAGAGAATGGAGGAGAAGGGATTGCGGCGTGGCCATCTCCCCTGAGGGGTGATTTCTCACTTTCTGTCTCTCTGTCTCTCTCTGTCTGCCTGGCGAGCACACGTGCCCTATAGCAAAAACCTCTCCAAAAACAAACAAACAAACAAAAAAAAAAAACAAAAGGCTAACAGGCAGGCCCAAGAAGAGATACACTCTTTAGTTATCAAGGAAATGCAAATCAGAACAATGTGATGCTGCATGCCACCCACTCGGCTTGCAAACTTTCAAAAGCTGGATAATGCCAAGTGCTGGTGGGGCTGTGGGAATGAGAAGGCTTGAGAGCTGCCGGTGGGAGGGTACATTTGCGGGCATGCAATGTGGCACTGCTTAGGCTGGGAGGAGGCATCGCTGATGCCCAGCCCTGCTTCCCTGGGTAGGGGTCCTGCTGATGGGCCCTTCTCACAGGTCCACCAGGCACAAGCAGGTGAGAGGGGACAGGACAGGTGAGTGATCATGGGGGTGCTGATGCCACGCAGCAATATACGCTCTCAGAGCAACTGACCAGATGTGCACACGCCATGGCGGGGATCGCAGAAGAGCAAAGCATTAGCAGGGAACGGCAGAGGCGGGATGAGGCATGTGACTGACAGCACCGACACCCATCAGAAGCCCACGAAACATTATGGATTTTGCAAGATGCATAGAAACACGAGCCAGGTGAAACCCGTGGGTGTGTTTGCTTGTGGGAGGTGGGACATGAAGGTAGGGATGGAGACAAAAGAGAACACATTTAAAAGATGAATGAAACAAGGGGATCCTCGTGCAGACGGATGACGGCAGGGTAGCCTGGACTGAGCAGTGACTGTGCAATTCTGCACCAGGGGTCCCAGTGCAGAGCGCAGACCCCCTCTGATAGAGGACCATTCATACATGGATGTGCTCATGGGAGCTAGGCCCTGGAGGAGCGGCAAAATGCTCTATGAGACAATCCCATGCGGGAACGTTGCCAGTCCGAGTCCAGGGACCCCCTTGGTCACACCAGGCGCATGCTTGCCCAGAGGTGTGTTGGGCAGTAAATTCTGCTGGGAATGCTGCCTCTGTGTCTCTCTCTGTCACTGGTAGAAAAAAAATAACAAATAAATTTCAGGAAAAATAGTGTATCAATTCATTCACAAGTTTATTGTCTCCTCTGGGCCCTGGGTTACAGCCCCACCCCTTAGCAAAAGGACAGTGAAAACAGAAACAGGGACACGGAAAGTCAGAGGTGGAGGGACAGAGACAGCAGGGCAGGCTGTCCCCACCGGGGCTGGGCCGCAGCTTCAGGAAGAGTGGCCTGAGACATCCGAGGGTCCCCTTAGCTCTCCCGGAAGGTGGCGGCCGCATGGTGGCTGCCCAGATCCGAGTGTGGACTTGGTGGCACGATGAGGCCAGCTTAGCACGTAGACGTCAGCACCTTCGTCCCCGCGCGGGAAGGCACGGCCCACGGAGCGCGGGGTCTCCGGGAAGGCAGAAGCTCAGGGTCGTGGCCGTGCCACTGCCGTGAGATCTCAGTCCTCACCTCCAGGGACAAGGGAGAGAATGTCAGGAAGATCCCACTGCCACTTCACTGCCCGTTCCCAGTGAGACTGAGGGTGCCGGGAAATACCGAGGAGAGGAGAGTCGCGGGGTAGGAAGAGCCTGTAGCCGGGCATGGCTAAGGGCTGTGGGCGGGTACCCGTCCTTCCCTGGTATTTCCGCCATCCCCTGCACTTCTCCGCCCTGGAGCACTCACTGCCTTGGGCTGAGCCCACTGAAGGGTTTCTGTGCTTCCCTGAGATCCCGGGCCAACCACCACTCTGCCCTCTCCCCCGCCATAGACCAGGCCGGTGCTGGCCTTCAGCTCTGTGAACTCAGCCTTGGCCACCGGGAATCTGTCCAGAGGACTGGACTCAAAGGGACAGAGGACTGGGAACCCGAGCGCCTGCAGCCCAGGGAACTGAGGCAGTGGAAAGGAAAGCAGCCTGTGGAGGGCTGGGGAGAGTGGGACTGAGGGCAGGGGTGGCTGTCCCTGTCTCAACTCCAAGGGACTGTAGGGCAGAGAGAGCTTGGAGATGGGGGCACTCCTACAGGGGCTGCAGTGAAAGGTAAAAGGGAGGCCGATTTCCGTTCACCATGGAGTCACTCAGCCCCATAGAGCCTGGCAAGGGACAGAGCTACCGGCAGCAGTTAGTCCCAGTGGGCAGAGGAATGGAACCATCTGGTCCCCAACACTGCTTCCGGAGACAGATCCTTCAGGACTCTCTGTGGAAACTCCTTTCCTAGACACACCTGCCTCGGCTGGGGGGTGCTCTCCACCCCCAGGAAGGCCCCCAGGGCACAGGGCACCTGCAACCAGGTCTCTGCAGAAGGCAAAGGCCCAGCAAACCCACAGCCACAAGAGGGAGCCCATGACTGGGTGTGCACACAGCGGAGGGCCTGGAGTCTGGGCAGAGCTAAACTCTACCCTCGGGAGCCCCAGAACAGGACCCTCCTGAAGGGAAATCTCGGGGTGTTTTCCAGGTGGACTTCACTTCTCGCACATCTGATTCCTCCTCGCTCCTGCAAGCGTGGCCACTCCACTGTCCTATCTGCGTGGCTCCCCGTTCAGTGGTTTCCCTTTGTGGACCTCTTCCCTCCGGGCACGCTCTGTGTTGACCCGCTCTGCATCTGGCTGTTTTCCCACTTCCCTGTACATCTGCCTCTGACTGGCCTCGTTTCTCTGTTCTCTGGCTGTCCCTTAGCTGGTTTCCTCCCTTCCCCACTCTCTCTTTTGTTTAATTTTAAAAACACAGAATCAAGGCTCTCTCTAGACTTCCTCCCTCGATCCCTCTCCAGATCCCTGAGAGGCCTCCTCTGCTTCCTGATGAGTGAACTGCAGATTTGCCCTGCGTAGAGGAGGGGTGGGTAAAGGAGGCTTACATGATGTATTCAGGTTTGGCCTGATCCAGGAGCTCAGGATAGACTCCCCCACAAAAGATCACAGGAGTCAGGACGTGGCCTGAGCTGGGATTTACAGGGCCTGGGCAGGGGACAGGAGGCCTGTAGGCTGGTGGGAGGCGGGATTCAGTGAGTAAGGGGTAAACAGGAGAGTCACAAACCTCTTGGTTGAGGAAGCAGTAAAGGAGGGCAACGATGAAGCCCTGCGGGTCAAAGAGAAAGGACTCCGTTAGGACATTTGGGTCTGGCCTCAGGTGTCCAGTCTTTCGACGACCTCTCCCCTGCTCACCCCCAGGCTGGGGCTTGGGCCAGGTCTACGTGAAAGGAAGGTTAGATGCCTTCGTCACTCCCTGTGTGCCGGGCGCAGTGTTCCCAGAATCAGAGCGAGGCTGCCAGGGCTGCACTGCGGGCCCCGCGTCTCATCCCCCATTCTTGGGCATCCTCTGGCACATAGCAGGTGTTCAGAAAAATCTGACCAGATGAGATGGATGGTGGGTAATGGTGACCGGATGGATGGACGGCAGATGGGGAGCCAAGTGAGGAGAGAGGGACAGCTGGGTGAGGGACAGATAGACACTGACTAGACAGGTGACTAGTAGCCACGGCCTGGACTTGGCAGGACGTGTGCCCGGGAAGGACCTCACCTGGAAGGAGCCCAGCCCCAGCTCCAGGGGCAGGCGGATGCCCAGGCCAGCGCTGTCCGGCAGGAAGTTGAAGATGATGTAGTGAACTCCAAACAGCGGGATGAGGAAAAGCGTTGACTTGGAGAGACGCCTGCAGGAAAGACCAACCCAGGCTCCCCAGGTGAGGACTGGAAACTCCCAAGTGTGCCCCACCACGCTCACTTTCCCCCACCCCTCCAGGTCCACTCTGGGCACCAGTCACCCTGGAGACCACCCTCCCCACACTCACCCCAACCTTTTTATTTTGGAGCCCTGGATCCTGCTGTTCCCTCGGCCAAGTGCTCTTATCCCAGTTTATCCTAAAGTCTGCGCATCTTTCAAGTCTAGGTCAAAAACCACTTCCTCCAGGAAGTCTTCCTTGACCTTCCCCTCTCCTCATGTAGAAGGGATCTTGTTCTTCAGGCTCCCATAGAAATTGATTCTAGCACCCATCAGCCTACTGGGCATGGTCACTGGCTGCTCAGAGTCCCCAGTCAGAGGGCAGGGACCAGTTCTGTCCTCTCTCTGGGTACACAGGGAAGAGTAGGGGCC